ACTGCACCACCAGAGAAGTCCCCTGTATCATATTTTAGATTCCACATATAAGTTATATAATATGGTATTTGTCTTTCTCTGACTGATTTACTTCACTTAGTATGATCATCTCTAGGTCCATCCATGTTGCTGAAAATGGCATTATTTCATTCTTTTTTATGGCTGAGTAGTATTCCATTGTATATATGTATCACATCTTCTTTATCCATTCATCTGTCAGTGGACATTTAGGTTGCTTCCATGTCTTGGCTATTGTGAATAGTGCTGCTATGAACATTGAGGTGCATGCATCTTTTTGACTTAGAGTTTTCATCTTTTCTGCATATATGCCCAGGAGTGGGATTGCTGGATCATATGGTAACTCTATTTTTAGTTTTTTTAAGGAAGCTCCATACAAATTGCTCTTGATACAAACTGCTAAAATGTCTTCCAGAAAGGGTATAATAATTTATACATCTACTCAGCAGAGTATGAGTGTGCCAACAAGCCCTGCCCTTATCAGCTTTGATCCCTACAGCTTCTTTGTATTTGCTCTTTGATAGATGAAAATGGTCTATTACTTTTGGTCTATTCATTTTGCATGTGTTCAATTCCTAGAGAGGTTAAATTATTTTCCACGTATATTCTAATTATTTCTATTTCTTCTTCTTTAATTATCTGTTTTTAAGTCCTATGTAAATTTTTCTATTTAACTTTTTTCCTTCTCAGTTATGGAGATTCTTATTAACATTCTGTTATTCACCATATGTATTTCCTAATATGTCCTTTATATTTTGGTTTTATATCTATATTTGATGTCCAGACATGTCAAATATTTATAGTTAATTCTATAAATATTTCTTTTCTCATCCATTTCCTTCAAGATTAAAAAGTACTAAGTTTTAATATTTAAAATATCTTCTGTGTGTGATACTGGTGTCAGTTAATGCCCTTTTAAGTGTCATTTAGCACCCATCTCTTAGCTCAATTATTGGATCAGGAGTTAGTAAATTACCTACTATGAAGCTGCCTTTGGGCTCATTTTCAAGACAATTCTGAGGGAGAGACTATAGTAACCTCCTCTGAAGAAAGTGTTGTTTCCATGAAGCTTCTTTATTCAGAGTCTGCAGTGTGCTTCCCTGTTGCTAATTACTGGGTTATTTATTCCTCTTGATAGATATATATATTATATATTATATATTATATATATTGCTTTTGCAATACTTCATTTCAAAATATTGACAAACATATAAGAATATTTGGAACATGTGGAAATTCAAATGTATTAGTTAGAGAAAAATATTATTTTATTCCCACTAATCATTCAAAAATTGAAAGTGTTCAATTTCCAGGACCTGACAGAATGAGAGAATATATTTGAATGGAAGTTCAAATAATCCTTGGATGGTTAAAAAATCGGGAAGATAAAATGCACATCCCCAAGTTGAGTCCTTTTTGGGTCGCCACAATGAAGTATGTAAGCTGCAAAAAACGCAAGGGAATAGTGAGTTTTTCAAAAGTTGAAACAACCACCATATCCACTCCAAATGCTTTGTATAATTTACTGTGATTTCATTATATTGGTTTTAATATGCAAGCCCAGCAAAACAGACTGAGACTAAAATTCTGGTTGATCTGTATTCTGTTGCCTAAGCCGAAAGGAGCTTAACAAACAAAACAATCTGAGCGAGAATCAGTTCAAGACTGTGACTTCCATATTTTTGGTCCCAAATGCACTCCTCAGAATTCCAAGTCATCTTCCAAAGGTAGAGAAAGAGATAAGAAGCACTTTTGATTGATCAGAGCATACAGAGCAAATGATGTACTTACATTTCTATCCTCAGTAGAATATACAAGAGATCCTAAGTAGAATATACAAGAGAGATGGCCACAAATAAAACCTGCCATTTCAATTATGCCAAGAGCATCCTAATGCAGGAAGAATGATAGCATTAGGGGGCAATTAAAGCACACATTAGAATCTAAGTATTTTAAAGGAAATTGGGAGTCATTAAACAGAACCAGTATGGAAATTTTTTTTCCGTCTTTGTTATTTTGGAGACCAATAAATATTAAGCATCATCTTCTAGGATGGGTGGTAGTCCCCAGTCAGGTAGCAAAATCACTCACCTTTCCACTTGGATATGCTAAGTTGTTTTGAATAATGGCAATTAAAATTTGTTCTTAAATAACTTCGATATAGGTTTATTTATCCGGTTTCCATGTGGATTTCTGGGTCAGCCCCATGGAACCCCTTCTTTGACCAGTATAAAATCATCTGCCTGGAGGAGGGATTATGTAGGCATGTTCACCAGCAGCTCTCCTCACTTTGGGTCAGGGCTTCCTGTCCACCAGCCTCTGTTCCATGAGGGGAGAAGATGCCCTCCAATTTTCGCGTATCTGGATTTTACAAAGCCCTGATTGACTTTGGTATACCAAAGTTCACTAGTTGTGAAATCCCAAAGGCTTGAATTTTCTTAGATGTAATTTGACAAGTTAATAAAAATTATTTCATGATTTTTTTTTATTGGGAGAACATGGAAGGGGTGGGGATTGCGTCCTAGCACACTCTCATTTCTTCTTTGAAATAAAATGTTTCCTAGACTAACTTTAGCACATCCACAACATCTTTGTAGAAGTTATACGATTAACAACAATGAAAAACTCTGCAAAAACATTTCTAAAGTGACTAAAAAAATGGATCTAAAGGAAAGAGCTTATCGCTCTCAAATGAAGATTCCCTTTTTCACTCCTGTTGAAGTCCCGCGTTGATTCTTCATCAGTAACACTGAGTATTGCCACTGACAGCACAATGAATGCCAGTACCCCAATCACACATAATTCTGCAGGCTTCTACTCCCTAGTGCTTAGAAACAAACAAACAAGGCAATGGTGAACAAACGCCACAAGCTACTGAGCTGATACCCAGCAGCACATTGAAAGGAATTACTGCAGCTAAATAGTGCTTATCTGGTAGTTAATCTCCAGAATATCTGTGCTTCTGGAATGGCTCCACAATAAAAGGTATCCAGGAAAATAAAAAGAAAAAAGTATGTCCTTTTCTTAGAACTCAGTATCACCAAGTCCATCTGAGACCAGAGTAGCCACAGGTAGAACCTGATGGACTGTGGTAATTGGCTAGATCAATTATAGGAAAGGAAAGTGCTATTTAATTGCCCAGCTACATGCTTATAAGCTCAGTGCCTCCATACTAGCGCTAGCAGGCCTTGGAAGAGGACAGAAGAGAGGAATGAGAACACTGCAGAGATGGAGTGGGAGGACAGTGCAGGGAAGGAGAGAGGAGATGAAAAGTGGTGTGAGTGGCAGCAACAGTCAACGGAAATTAAAAGCAGTAACAGAGAGGGTGATCTAGGCCTCTGAGAGAAGGAGAGAGGCAGCCAAAAGACCTGATCTTGAGACGGAGAAAAAGCAGTGACCAAGAGAAACCTAGGCACCACTGGAACATGCCACGCAGAGGTCCTGTCATGGGGGAAAGAGGAGTCACTTAATCAACAAATTCTTAATAAACACCTACATTTCAAGATGCCAGGAATGCAAAACTGAATACTTCATGCTGGTGCTCCAAGATGCTATAAACCAAGTCATTACATCCTAAGGACCACATCTCCTATATCTGCATCTAGATCACTCAACCTCCAGTCAGCAGTGCCATCTAAGGTACAGTTTGGAAAGCTCTCCAAGGAAAAAACAAAAAGCAGCTGGTCCATAAACCGTTAACCATACAGAACAGAACGGCTCCTTCTCCATGGGCACTGGCTGGCTCTGGTCTTACTCCACCAGGTAATAATAGAAGCAAGAGAACGTCCAGGAATGAGGATCAAATTGAATACTCTTGTTTAGGGAGCTAGGAAATACTGGGATGTAGAACCTTAACAAATGTGACAGACGACACCAAAAATAAAAACAAACATACAAAAACCTATGCTGAAATAGAAAACTTGGTGCCTTACAAATCAGACTAATGTCCACCAGGGGTTACTAGGGGCAGAGTTAAATCCATGCAGTTTTAACTTCTGCATTCAATTTTTAATTTTGTAGTTATGTTACGTCTGTATTAGGGTTGTTAGTATCAAGAGACACCAGACACCCAGATGTCTGACTGCAAGATTCTAGGTAAATCATTCCCACTTTAACATCAAATTGATGAAGCATTTATTTTAAAACATTTGTGGAGTTGTAACTGCAAAGGTAGAACTCACAGTCTTTTACATATTACAACCACATGTTAAGACAGTAGACTTCAATAAAAAATTACCTTCAAACACATTTTGTATTTGGGGGATTTGCTTTATCCCTTAACACTCCGGGTGAGAGGAACAACTGAGCCCACGTTCCTTAGCAAAACTTCATTTTCTTTTGAACACTGCATTGACCCTAAGTTTAACATCACTCCAAATTCAGTCTATTTTCCTTGCACAAGATATTGCAACCAAGCAAAACTCTGTCCCAGAAACCTCATAAATTGTATGAGCTGCTCAATTTAGGCCTGAGGGAGTAAATTGAAGAGAGCTTAGCTTGTCATATTGTTTTATACTGTTTGCCACAGAAATTCAGGATTAGTTCTAGATTGATTGAACTAGTGATGATGGTGACTATGTGTATGTATACATACACACACACACACCTATATCCCATTATTTTAGCAATTTTTTTCCCCCAAGTAGTCCTTTGCTTTAGTTCTTGATGCCCTGCTTTATTTAATATATTTAAAGTGGGTTTGGTGTTGGGGGGAAGGGGGAGCAGGGCAGGAAACTGAATGAGCATCCTCTAAGTACCAGCTTTACTGGAAACATCCACATATTTTATAATTCGTTCCATTCCACCAGTCTTCACCAAATGCCTGCTATATGCTAGGTCCTAGGGACTCAATATTGAACAGACAGAGGCAGGCCCTCTTTTTATGAAGCTGTGATTCATGTGACACCAGTTAAACTGTGAATCAGTCAGATAAATTCCTGACGTCACCTTATTTTGATTTTGAAATCAACACCTCTACTTACCAGTTGTGTGGCCTTGGTCCCGTTTATCCATGCCTCAGTCTGCTCATCTGTATAATGGAGGTTGCTGTGAAGAGTAAGCGAGAGCAGAGAGCACATGTAAGAGGCCTAGCACAGAGCCTGGTGCACAACTGGATGGTGTCCCCTGCCTTCCTCACAATGGTACCCAGTGGGCTTTGGAGTTGATTTTGCAGATTTGAGTGACTGCTCCCACCTTGTAATAGTTACAGCCACCAGGGGGCAGTACAAAATGGGCCCCATGAGTCCTGAGGAGAGACTGGCACTATTTTCATTGATAGATGGCTAAAAACAAATTTCATTTTTGTATTGGCTCATCAATGAACAAATGAAGAAATGCAAAAACTAATTAAACAGTCATTGAAAGAAACAGTGATCAAAGCAAAAGTAAAAATGATGATATTCAGTTACTTGACAAATATATGCTGAGGGTCTGTTCTGGGCCAGCCTCTAAAGATAAAAATAGTACCTGTTCTACCAAGTGGTGTGAAGGTTGTCTGAGTTACAACAGTACTGACAAGCAGTAAACACTTAGGAGCTCTTTGCAGTTATGGTTTTGGGGAGGATATGATTTTAGAGTAGGCAAGAGATAAAAAGTGGTACTATTTACCACCTATAGAAATCTCTCTAAGAATGTTTGACTTTTCCTGCCAATCTCTCTCTTACCTAGAGGAACCAAAAATTTTCTGATTTATCATTTCTGTTCATTTTTCAATCACACAGACCAACTGAAATAAAAGATAAAATAGCATGGAATCTAAATGTGTCACATCCCAAAATTCTTAAAGGAGTCATAGGGATGATTAAGAGAAATGTTATGTCGTATCAAAGTCTGCCTTATCACATTGAAAATAACTCTAAAATGTTCTATTGATTTTTATTTTTTATTTATTTATCTTTATGTGTTAATTGAAGTAGAGTTGATTTACAATGCTGTGCCAATCTCTGCTGTACAGCAAAGTGACTCACTTATACTCATTTAAACATTCTTTTTTTAAAATATTCTTTTCCATTATGGTTTATCACAGGATATTGAATATAGTTCCCTGTGCTATACAGTAGGACCTTGTTGTTTATCCATTCTATATATAATAGTTTGCATCTACCAACCCCAAACTCCCAGTCCATCGTTCTCCTTCCCCCTTCCCCCTTGGCAACTACAAGTCTGTTCTCTATATCTATGAGTCTGTTTCTGTTTTATAGATAGTTTCATTTGTGGCATATTTTAGATTCCAAATATAAGTGATATCCTATAGTATTTGTCTTTCTCTTTCTGACTTACTTCACTTAGTATCATAATCTCTAGTTGCATCCATGTTGCTGCAAATGGCATTATTTCATTCCTTTTTATGGCTGAGTAGTATTCCACTGTATATATGCACCACATCTTCTTTATCCATTCATCTGTCAATGGACATTTAGGTTGTTTACATGTCTTGGCTATTGTGAATAGTGCTGCTGTGAACACAGGGGTGCATGTGTCTTTTTGAATTATAGCTTTGTCTGGATATATGCCCAGGAGTGGGATTGCTGGATCATATGGTAATTCTATTTTTAGAATAGAGGAAACTCCATACTGTTTTCCACAGTGGCTGCACCAACTTACATTCCCACCAACAGTGTAGGAGGGTTCCCTTTTCTCCACACCCTCTCCAGCATTTGTTATTTGTAGACTTTTTAATGATGGCCATTCTGACTCTTGTGAGGTGGTATCTCATTGTAGTTTTGATTTGCATTTCTCTAATAATTAGCAATGTTGAGCATCTTTTCATGTGCCTATTGGCCATCTCTATTTTTTCTTTGGAGAAATGTCTATTTAGGTCTTCTGCCCATTTTTCAATTGGGTTGTTTGTTTTTTGTTGTTACTGTTGTTGAGTTGTATAAGCTGTTTGTATATTTTGGAGATTAAGCCCTTGTCTGTCACATCATAAAATGTTCTATTGATTTTTAAATGAGAAAAGTGTCAATTATGAATAGAAGTATTGAAATGAACTGTTACCGATTTTACATTTTTTTTTTCTTCTGATTCTTTAACTTATAGTTTGCAAATTGTGAAGGCATGATCATACTCATGTTCATGTAGCAGAGAGCTGCAAAAATCTGGAGTGGTAAATAAGGATGGACATCCAAAAATGTCAAATCCAAAGCCACCATTATCCAACGTCTATAATATGGTGTATGAAGATGACAAAGTTATTTGCATGATTAAATACATTAACAAGATATTTTAAAAGCTCACAAATCTTCCACTTTATTTATTTTTTTTACATTTGAATGTTGTCACAGAGAGGTTTGCCTGTAGCCACAAACTGTTGGTAATGATTACTCTCTTTGTGGACTACCTGTCAGCATCTGTGGATCATTCTTCAGTCTTAGTATAGAAAAGAAAAGATATCCCCTAATGGCAGCATATCATGTTCAGCTACCTTGAGGCAAGAAAATATTAAAACTGGATGAAAACAAGAAATTAAAACTGAATATAGATTAAAAAAAAAAAGAATGTCTGAAAACAGACTGGCCTCTATTCTAGTCTAAACAAGTTGTAACATTAAGAGTGTTGTCAAGGGGCTTTCCTGGTGGCATGGATAAGAATCTGCCTGCCAATGCAGGGGACACGGGTTCGAACCCTGGTCCGGGAAGATCCCACATACCACAGAGCAACTAAGCCCATGTGCCACGACTACTGAGCCTGCGTTCTGGAGTCTGCGAGCCACAACTACTGAGTCCACGTGCCACAACTACTGAAGCCTGTGCGCCTAGAGCCCGTGCTCCGCAACAAGAGAAACCACTGCAATGAGAAGCCCGCGCACCACAACGAAGAGTGGCCCCTGCTCACTGCAACTAGAGAAAGACCACGTGCAGCAACGAAGACCCAACACAGAATATATATATATATATATATATATATATATATATATATATATAAAGAGTGTTGTCAGGGACTTCCCTGGAGGTCCAGTGGCTAAGACCCTATGCTTCCCACAAAGGGGAGTGTTGGTTTGATCCCTGGATGGGGAACTAAGATCCCACATGCTGTGTGGCACAGCCAAAATAAATAAATTAATTTTTTTAAAAAACAGTGTTGTCAGATAAAATACAGGATTTTCATGTAATATTTAAGGCATGCTTAAAAGAAAAGTTAATTACTGTTTATCTGAAAGTCACATTTAACTGAGTGTCCTGTATTTTTATTTGCTAAATCTGGTAAGCCTATACACGAGGACTTCCATGCACACTTAATCTTTCACTCTTTAAAGATTAATTCTGAGAAACGTTTAACTGAATAGGCAGTTGGTTAGTCAGGTAGCAACCTATGAAATTTGTCAGGTCCCCACCAATCCAGCACAGCAGAAGTCTCAGAGGGAGTGCTTCATCCTCTTTTCATTTCTGCAGACCACTCAGATCATAGAGCTTAATGAGGTGACTAAATAATAAGTACAAAAAAAACTGGTGAAGTACAGCATTAAATATCCCATTCACTCCCAGTCAAGGCACCCTTGTCAAAAATCAATTGGCTGTAAATGTATGGGTTTAATTATGGATTCTCAATCCTATTCCATTAATCTATTTATCTGTCCTTATGCCAGTACCAAACTGTTTTGGTTACTGTAGCTTTGTCATAAGTTTTAAAATTGGGAAATGTGAGTCCTCCAACTTTGGTATTCTTTTTCAATATTGTTTCGGCTATGCAGGGTCCCTTACAAGTCCATATGAATTTGAGGCACATCTTTTCCATTTCTGAAAAAAGGCTGTTGGAATTTTGATAGGGACTTCATCCACTCTGTAGAGCACTTTATGTAGTATTGCCATCTTAACAATATTAGGTCTTCCAAGCCATGAACATGTAAGTATTTCCATTTACCTAAGTCTAATTTCTCTTAGCAGTGTTTTATAGTGTTCAGTGTACAAGTCTTTTATCTCCTTGGTTAAAATTATTCCCAGGTATATTATTCTTTGGATCCTATTGTAAATGTAATTATTTTCTTAATTTTCTTTTTGGATAGTACAGTGCAAGAGTATAAGAAGCATAATAGGTTTTTGTGTGTTAATCTTGGACCCTGCAACTTTGCTGAATTCATTTATTAGCTCTAGTAGTTTGTGTTATATGTGTGTGTGTGTGTGTGTGTGTGTGTGTGTGTGTGTGTGTGTGTGTATTCTTTGGAATTTTCTATATATAGGACCATGTGATCTATGAATAGAGATAGTTTTTCTTCTCCCTTTTCAGTTTGGATGTCTTCTATTTCTTTTTCTTGCCTAATTTCACTGGCTAGAACTTCCAGTACAATGTTGAAAAGCAGTGATGGAAGTAGGTGCCATTGTATTCTTCCTCATCTTAGGGAGAATGCTTAGTCTTTCATCATTGAGTACAATGTTTGCTATTGGTTTTTCATGAAAGCCCTTTATCATGTTGAAGAAGTTTCCTTCTATTGCTAGTTTTCTGAGTGCTTTCATCATGAAAGGGTGTTGGATTTTATCAGACATGTTTTCTGTGTCAATTGAGATGATACTGTGGTTTTTTTCCCCTCACTTGATTAATGTGGTATATTACACTGATTGATTTTCTTATGCTGACCCACTCTTGCGTTTTTAGGTTAAATCCCACTTTGCTGTGTATAATCCTTTTTAATATGCTGTTGGATTCAGTTTACTAGTTTTGTTGGTGATATTTGCATCTATATTCATAATGGCTATCACCGGTAGTTTTTTTTTCCTTGTGGAGTCTTTATCTGGACTTGGTTTTGAGGTAATACTGTCCTCAAAGAATGAATTTGGAAGTGTTCCATCCTCTTCAACTTTTAGGAAGAGTTTAAGCAGGATTAGTATTAATTCTTTTTCAAATATTTAGTAGAATTCACCAGTGAAGCTGTCTGGCCTTAGACTTTTCTTTGTTGGAAGGTTTGATTACTGAGTCAATCTCTTGTTATAGATCTGTTCACATTTTTGTTTCATCTGAATCAGTTTTGGTTATTTGTGTGTTTCTAAGAATTTATCCATTTCATCTAGGCTATTTAATTTGTTGGCCTACAGTTGTTTATAGTATTCTCTTTTAATTCATTTTACTTTCTGAAAGGTGGGTAGTAACAATCTACTTTCATTTTTTATTTTAGTTGTATCTTCTCTTTTTTTCTTGGTTAGTCTAACTAAAGATTTGTCAATCTCATTGATCTTTTTAAGGACCCAACTTTTGGTTTATTAAACCCCTCTTTTGTTTTTGTTTTCTCTAAAAGAATAGATTTTTTTAATAGTATGAAGGACATAGAGAACAGAGAAATCAAGTCTCTAAGGACTCTTGGGAGGGTTTCTTTGAAGGGTTAGAATGCAACTGGGCCATTAAATGCCTAAAAAGCAAAGTTTTATTT